AAAAAAAAAACAGCGGCGACAAACTATACTGACAATATTAAACAACTCATACAACTAATATATATAAATAAGATAGAAATATAGACTACAACTAGAAATGGAATGGTAGATGTACTAGCAATTAGGCGTGAGGCGGGGAGTTAGCCCAAAAACCTCGATGCGCAAAAAACGGCAGCGACAAACTATACTACTGTATATTAATAAGTTGCCCAGAGTGGTCAGACAGATGTGAGTGAACCACTTCAGCACTTATTAGATCTGGATCAAGGCTAGAGCAAACATAGTCAATTGAGGTAGCTGATGTGCTAGTTATTCTAGTTGCGGGAATACGCAGTCTGTGGATGTTGAATGAAGGGTGATTTATTGTATGTCAAATGGCTTGGGTTCCCAAGTAGCCAGAATTCATGGATTTCCACTAAGGATGTCCAAGGGAGCGTGCCCGCGACCAGGAGCGCGCCCACGCCATGAGCCGAGTTCGCACATACATGATTTTGAAATAGAAATATAATATATCAACTGGAAAGGGGAATGGTAGATGTACTAGCAATTGTGCATGGGGCAGAGGGGAGTGGTGAGGGGGTGAGGGGTGAGGGGGGGAGTTGGCCCAAAAATGTCGAACCTCAAAAAACGGCGGCGACAAACTATACTAACAATATTAAACAACTCATATGTCTAATATATAGATAAGATAAGACAGAAATATAATACATCAACTAGAAAGGGGAATGGTAAATGTACTAGCAATTAGGCATGGGCGGGGAGTTGGCCCAAAAACCCCGCGCCACAAAAAACGGCGGCGACAAACTATACTACTAATATAAAACATAAGAAATTTACCTTATATAAATTTGGGTAGAAATTTCTCTTGTTTGTTTACATAGTCTGGGTCAACATTACTGCGGGGTGACTTACAAACAGCCAACAGTTAGTTACATTTAGAATAGTATAGATTTTAGTGGAAGCTTTAAACCAGAAAATGTTCTAATCGCTTCAATGACATATCCTATTTTTTCTAGATTTGTTCTAGATTCTTGAGTTAGCCCTCAGACCACCACCATAAACTAAAACCTAATATTGATTGGGGATTTTATTTCAGGGCTCTAAGACAGCATTTTTGCTTTATCAGCTGCGGAATTGGAAAAAGGGTATTTAATAATTGTCATGAGTTTAATAAGACTAAAGAAAAAACTGAACGCAAGATTGAGTTTAAATATTTCCCATCTTTCTGTCCGATGCTTGATGGCATATCTGTGCGTGTATGCCTTTAATTTAAGACCAAAACTTTATAGATCGGTTTAGTTGAAGATCCAAACCGACTCGGAAAAGAAAAGCCAATATATTTAATACATAGATGTATCAACCTATGATTGACCCCATATTTTAAAATCTAAGCTTATATTAGTTATCCTATCAATAGAGTTTTGTGGACACTGTAAAAAATATATATTGTTTACATATCTTAAATTATATAGACTGGTTAACTTTCTTGAAATCACAACAACGCCCGACGGGTAAGCTAAATATTGGAAAAAGAAAATCTGGAAGAAAAGTTACTACAAAACAAGGTATTTCTATATGAAAATAAATGTTTAATGCCCTAGGCAACTAGTACTAGATTAGCCTATTTAGAATAGAATGGATGACACAATAAATGAAAATGGAAAAAGACAACTTAAAATAGAACACCAATATTTTAATTTAATTCACTAATTGCTTTTTATTTGAAATCAACTGATAAAGTTTTGTATGTGGCCAAAATTAATGTTATGGATGAAATAGTATTACAGAAAAGGAACTTTTTATTTTTAGTAGTTTATTTATTTTATTTCAGTAATATCAAACAACTAAAAAAATAACTAAACTAAACCAAATACCAATTATGCACAAACTCTACATGAAACTCTTCTACTGAACTAATGTGTGAATCGTTGAGACTGAACCCACTTTTATTTACCCTGCGACGTGTTTTCTAAAAGATTCTTTTTCGTCTTTCTTCCCTCAAAGCTCAAAGAAACAAGAGAATTTACTTTCACTTTGAAAGATCTTTTGAAATTGCCTACATCACAACAATATTCTACATGTGGGTTGTTAAAATAGATTAGACCTAATGATAAAGTCAAAGAAAAATAAACATTTTAAAATCATAACTTTATTTAGGCCTAACTCTCCTCTATGGCCAATTATCTGATTGAATACATTACATTTAAGTTTTATTGTTTTGTGAACTATATAGCCAAACAATTGTTATATGTCTTCTTAAAATTCTATTTGATATCTGTGACAACCGGTTAAAATAGTCTTGAAAAAACTAATTAACAAGGCATCGCAATACTTTGTAAAAATCTTTTACATGTAACAATTGTAATTACAGTACACAAATACGTTAGCTAATGGGAGAAGAACGCGTTTTGTCGAACTTAAAAAAAAATGTTTTGAAATGTAACACGAATATAGATTCTCTTATCAAAGTGTTTCAAATGTAATTAAATACATAGATATAACAATCTATATAAAGTGTGATTTATACATAGATGTTAGTTGGTATGCTTTATTTTACAAAAAAAGTTAAACTAACTTTAGTTATTACCCTCATTTGTTTCCTCAAGTCCCTAAATATTTAAATGGCGGGGGCTATGTTTTAACCTGTCACAGCTTGAAGATGAACCTTTAGGTTCGAAACTTGGGTCACTTACCTAAGTTCGGATCACAAACAGTACTACAGGTATTTAACCTTTTATTTTTAACGTATATATCTAATATTACTTAACTTATATCTTCTATTCACTCACCGAAATCTAACTCATATATTAATTAATCTTATTTAGAGCTTCGAGCTACTGTTTATTTGATATATTTAATTTTAAGAAAAAATGGTAAACAAAACAGTGCAAGAGATGAAACTAGAGCTCAGCAGCAAAGCCTCGAGAGCCTATTTTAGGTAGATTTTTCCCGACAATATATGGCTCATATGTAGATATCAAAGTCACACAAAAGAGCTTTTGGAACACTTGACATGGGCAGCACCTCGGGTTGATTAAATGTAAATAAAGACTTCGAGCCCTGAAGTTAAAAATATCCCTTTGATCAGGATATTGGACGACTTATATGAGTGTATTTCATGCTTTGATTGCACATGCGAATGGTAAATTGCAGAATGTATCATGATACAAGGACTTTTAAATGGTTTTAAAATTATAATAAGGATGTAAAAAATGTTTGTTTACATTTATTTTTTTTGGTAATTTTATAAATGTTTGACAAGCCGATTTGTGATTTATAATTACTATTGGATAACAAGGTTTTCAATAGAGTTTGGAAGAGAATATTCATAAGTGCGGGAAAGACTAAGATTTTACATATTGTTTTATTTAATCTATCAAGAACTTAAGATTAACAATGCCTCCAATCGGCATATAATGAGCTTTCATTTAAAATATTGAAGTGAGCTTTTCTTTAATTAAGTTATGTTTATTTAATGTTTTTCACTGGCTCCGTTCATCGAGTGTATATAAAGTACGATGATTTTCAGTTAATATAAATGAGAAAGTTGCTGTAAATTGAGGAGGCTATTAAACTTAAATATGATAAAATATCTTTCTCTCAATTTCGTTCTAATGTATAGTTTTACATTGCGGAATTATTATTACTCAGGCGATTTAATCTCTATTGTTTGTAATGAAAAATCTTCCATAAAAAATTAGCTGTTTTGATCGTTTTAACTATAAAACCAACTGTAGGAAGTTTAAACACCACCCAACAAGGCTCTGTCCCCTTATACGATAAGTTTAACATTATTGTAGTTCAAATTAATTATTCGCCGTCACAATATATTTTGGTGTTTGACAATTCGTTATAGAATGTATAGGATTTTGCGCATCAACAAATCAAAAGAAGAATATCGAATCCACAGAGGTCGGAGGTCGGATAGAAACGAACCCAAATCATAATTTCCTTTGACACTATGACAAATGGTACATCATATCACTGATGATTTACGTTTGATCCAGCTCTATTGCTTTGTGAATATTTGTGTTCGTCTCTCCACAAAGAGTTTTGTAACTATTGTGTTTACACAAATATTTGTCGTGATGATAGTGTTTTGAGGATTGTAAATCGATTGGAAAAACTGTTTATTGTTATTATTCATTAGGGGAAATGGGTTTGAAATTGTTTACTGACAAAACGGAGGTCAAAGAAGTCTGCATTTAGTTAAATATTTAATTACAAATTACATTAAATTTATTTTATTTATCGGACTAGTGTGTCATGTTTTATGTTTTGCCAAAGCATGGTAAGATAAAATATACTTGTCGAAGATTTTCAAGTAACGTTTGAGATAAAGTGAAAATATGCTTTAAAACATGATTTTAAGCGTTAAGGAAAGGTATATATAAAATAAATGAGTTGCAAGAACATATTTTTAGAACTCTCCAATTGCCTCCTCCCTAAAAAAGATGGACTTGTAAGATAGTATTTTAATACGCCTCTAATACATCCTATACTTAATACATCCCTATAAATTTGATTTTTAAACATAATGACCAAACTCTACAAAATTTAATCAAAATCGGATGCATTTTTGGGTGATTTTGGCTTCTGGGTCCTCAAAACTAAAAAGTAAAAGTGTCTATGGTCCAGGTCTTATTATGAAACCTACAGTAATAGCTTCTTCCCTATGTGGTAAATTCACTAAAATATCAAAATTTGGTTGGTCAAGATTATAAAAAAAATTCCCACCTCATTTTTTCGGGTTAAAACTTTCTACAGCCCTTAAATTGTTTATTTTACCAACCAAAAATGCCAAATTATGTTATAACAATTGAAAACGTGAATTAATAGTGCGGCTTTGTATGTTGGTAAAATATAATGATTCGGCAAACTCACTCCGAAACTAAAACAACTAAATCTTACTTCAGTATAACTTGGTATCCAACCACCATTATGTAGGATGTTGCTCATAACAATACATTTACTTAAATGTCCTAATGTGTTCAACTCACCCCATCATCACCTGAACCAAACTCAGGAAGTCCTGATGTTCCTCTAGGATTGTAGGGAGGTCCCGGTGGACCTGGAGGACCTTCTATTGATTCGCCAGGAGGTCCCTAAGGATAAGATACTAACAGTTACACCAATAATGAACAATACGAGCAAAAACTACGTCAAAGTCTAAAGTACCAAATTTTGATCTCATTTTGTTTTAATGAAGCAAACAACAAACAACATTTCGTTTGAAGTATATTTTTAAAAAGAAACACAATAACCTATTCCTGTTTAGCAAACGTAAATCTCAATATTCTTTAACAGCAATTTTTGGGACAGAAAGAGTAATAATTGTGACAGGAAAAGTAAGATGGTCGTAATTTTTTATTTGGAAATAAATTATGACATTCGTGGAATTCAAGAGGGTATGAAGATATTTTAATACATATCAAATTAACAGTCAACTAGAATTAAGAGATAAATAAACAATAAAAATCATATTGGACCCCAATTGGCGTTATAAAATGGCCATTTGGAAAGCTAATTAAGGGAACCAATTGATCATAATACATAGCTACATGGCAATTAACTCTCTGATTCGGTTAAGTTGCGCATTTGGTTTAATTTCCTATAGTACATGAGGAGTTCCTAATTGAAAGAACATTGTTGAATGAAGAGCCATTTCGGTAAAGGTGACCAATTCTGGTTAAGTGATCGATAAGTACTTTTCAGTATTTATAGGTATAAGTTGTTCGAATCAAATTTATTGTTACGTATTTGTTGTTTATCCGATCAAAGATTGTTCCAATAAAGTACAAGAGTGGACTCAGGTAAAAGTAAATATCAATCGCTTATTAAATATTTGATAAAAGACCCCTTAATAAATATTCGGTTAAAATGAAACTGTGTTTATGTTCGTTGAAATTATAAAGATAGGTAAGAACAAAATGGCATAGAATATGAAAAAATGTTTATGTACTTACAGGCTCTCCTCTTTCTCCCTTTTGCCCCTTCATTCCGGTGAATCCTGCAACGATAAACAAAAATAAATAAAATATAGGTAAAGAAGAAATAAAAACAGTCACGATTAAAAATATAAGAAAGAATGTAAACAAGGATAGTGAACAAATAAAATTTAGCAGTAAATGAAACAAGTACAACAAGGCTTGGAAATTGAAAGCCAAACCATGCTGAAATAATTGACTAAAATTATAAATTAAACATTGGTAAAACTGATGTACGAAATAGGAAAAATATAGTTTGACGGTGAAAAACTTAAAAGCTACACATGATTTGTCTTTTGATTTCGTAAAAAAAATATAGCTTTGATTTATTCACTTTTTACACCAAATTATATTTAATTTTTAAGATATTAGTGTATCTTCTCTTAGTTAGTTGTGCTTAGGTCTGCGCATGTCCGTCAATCCAAATCATTACCAACATTTTAGAAATAAAAGAAAAACTACGTAAATGTATCATTATAAAGAAAATACATAAATTAAGAGTATTGGCTACAGGATTATTATCGTATATGGTAGAGTTCGCATGGACATAGTCTTGAGCCTTGGTTCACATTCGGGGATTAAACATTGTAATCAATGGGAACCACACAAGCTTCCCCAGAAATCCACTCTCTGTAGCGTAAATTATACATGTGGCTTGAAACTCATTGGAAATGTATTTAATTTACAACTTACAAATGAAAGCGATAGGCCGTATAGAAACAGGTTTTTTGTAATTTTACCAATGAACTGTTTAAATGGAAAAATGTATGGGATAAAAAATACAATGTTAGACACGAAATTGTGACCAAAACCGTAATTAAACCCTTTTGAAACTTTAAATCGCTTTGTAAAAGCGGTAATTTAAACATTACGTAGCTTACCATAGGGCTTAAATTATTTACAAGGGATTAGACAAAGCTACAAGTCTAAACAAAACCCCTCCTAACACTTAGAATAGTTATGAATCGCCATTAGATTGTTTTGGACCACATTGTGAGAAGTAAGTGTATACAACAATCAGTTCAAAGGAATTGGTGAAAATCTAAAACGTTTTTGTGTGACAATGCAAATATTAATTAAAATAAAACATTTTATACGGTAATAAATAATGAAAGGTTTAAACGAAATTCTTAACTTTTTTCAAATATACAACAAGGAAACACACTAATGAAAGACTTGTCTTAATAGAGTCTTTGGTGTGGAAATTTAATTTTAATTCCAAACAAAGTTTTCAGCGTTATCTTGTTTGCGCTCATGAGTCCGCACAAACACATTTCCCCAGCGTTAGACTGGAAAAACATCCTTTACACAAGGGAGATGCGAAAGCCATGACTAAAACTCGTTTTATATTCGTTTTATAATGTTCAACAAACATTTTAACTTTGCTTTAATGTTAAAACATATCACGATTTATATTTATATTTTTATTTATATTTTGTTAGCTAAATATTATTCCACTTATTAATTATTAAATTGTATAGACTGATATAACTATTTTGTCGTTTGAAAACTCAAATTTGTCGCAGGCTTATACTTGACCAACCTTACTAAAACACATATAGAATTAATGTACAGAAAATAATATAAAATTTATATGAAATAATTTTACAATCAAAATCGCTTAAGCTGAGCTTTGGGAATCCATGAATATTCAAAAGAGCATTAATTTGCAAAATATAAAACAAATTGTAACCACTACAAGATAACTTAACTTAATTCATAAATAATTAATAAATTTACTTTTTAATTTCGAAGCAGACCTATATTCTTTAACGCCAAATACCAGTAAGGTGTAAAGTTTGGGAATAAGATTTTTCAGAGAATTAGGCTTACTCAAATTAATAACTATAGAGCCAATACCTTTACACGCATTTGACTTACATTATTGATTTCATCTCTAGGTATAAGGTGATATTTCCAATAAAGAGAGTAAATGTGCTTTATTTTCCGTTTAGGTTACATGATGCCTGCATTACATATGCCTAAACTGGAAATAGACCCACAACAAATTTGTTATAAATGGCTGTTTTTGCTGCACTATGACGAAACAAATATTACTCAAGTGATATATAGTACTAAATTTGTAAAAGTCTTTACAAATAACCAAAACTTCAAAGCCCTGATTGTAATAAAAGGACCAACAATAAAAAAATATAAATAATTAATCACTATAGTAAACAGTAAAAAAATTCCCAACAGTTTAGAGATTGACTGAAGCTGAAAAATGAATGAGTATAAATATTGTAAGTACTCCGATCCTTATCTTTTGAAAAAAAAAAAAAAAACAACACGATGTGTTTACGACTTGTATTTGCAGTAACTTTTGTCAGACGTTAAGATTTATGAAGACTTGAGCTTTTAGCCTCAACTCTGAATGACGAACATCTTTCACCTTTACGATTTCCTTACATTCAAACAACTTTGACACCTCAAAGCTAAAACAGTACGTGTCTCTGAACTGTATTCATTAGTAATGATTAAAATTAATGACTTTATATGCAACAAATTTGGTATTTTTTTCATATTTATTTTTAAGTTAAATGAAAAAAAAACATTTACTCATAAATTTGCTATTTCAATGGAAATAGTTTTGAAAACCACGAAAGTACACAAGTAAAAGCATTCAACAACTATTTCTTTGACACAATGCTTTTCCTTTAAAAGCCACGAAGTACGAGGCCACTTAAGGACCTGAATGTTCTTTAGAAATACTTTTTATTCGTTTCTAAAATGTATACAAGCAAAAGCTAAGTATTAGCAAATGTTTAGTGATTGATTCTAATAAGTATTCTAATATGCTCGGGACTTCAGTTCCTTAGGTCCCGGACTACAATCCCCCAAAATCACCAATGGATTTTATCTATGTACAGTAATAATGCCGCAATACCTTGGGGAGCGAGCTGGTCTAGTGGTTACAGCGCGAGACTTTTGTTCCTGAGGTCCCGTGTTCAAATCCCGCCAAGTCACCAATGGATTTTATTTAAGTAATAATGCCGCAACCCATAGGTCTAACCTGAAGATATGTGAAGATATGTACAATCCCGGACTCGAACCTATCGTTCTAGGAAAAAATACTATAATATAGTTTACTTTAATAAACGGGCAAACACTGTTTCAACGTCATATCTTAATCATTTCTTGTTCCAAGAGGTTAACCACGTATAGTCTTCCGTTGCCCGTCTACATCCCTAGTAATTGCGAGTGGGGTGTATCTAGCAAATCGAGAAGCGACCTGTTCAGTAAGGCCTAGCGCACACGGTCGATTTTTCGATCGGCCGATTAAAAAATCTGCCAAAAATAAATCGCCCTTGATTTATGTCCAGGCGCACACGTGGCGATTTTTTAGTCGAGAAATGGATTTTTTTAAGTAATGGACTTTGTTGAATTAACCTGTGTTTGTGCTCTTCTAATTAGATCAAACAAAAAAATAAGACAACTTAAATATTGGGTTCATCCGATAGTAAGTCAGAGACTTTTAAATCGACAGTTTTATAAACTGTACACTTTACGTGATGACAGTAAAAAGTTCTTTAATTACTATAGAATGTCCGTTGAAAGTTTCAGTTTTTATTATAACAGCTGTGGCCTTTATTAGCAAAGAAAACAACACAACTCACACTGAAGTTCACTGTCTCCTGTGGAGAACAATAAGCGACTGGCCGATTTTTTAGTCGACCGTGTGCGCGGACTGATAACAATCTGTACGTTACAGATTTTCGGGCGACAATCGCCTCGCCTACGAATCTGTGGCAAAACCCAGATTTTAAAATCGGCGCAATTCTCGATCGCCTGTGTGCGCGCTTCCATTCAAATTCATGATGCACAGATCGGCCGATGAAATAGTCGCCTCAAAATAATCGCTCGTGTGCGCCTAGCCTTAGGCCTGGCGCACACGGTAGATTTTTCGATCGGCCGATTAAAAAAATCGGCCAAAAATAAATCGCCTTTGGTTTATGTCTAGGCGCACACGTGGCGATTTTTTAGTCGAGAAATGGATTTTTTGAGTGCGTTTAAAATGGACTTTGTTGAATTAACCTGTGTTTGTGCTCTTCTAACTAGACCAAAGAAAAAAAGAAGACAACTTAAATATTGGGTTCATCCGATAGTAAGGCAGATACTTTTAAATCGACAGTTTTAGAAACTATAGGTACACTTTACGTGATGATAGTAAAAAGTTATTTGATTACTATAGAATGTCTGTTGAAAGTTTCAGTTTTTATTATAACAGCTGTGGCCTTTTTTTAGCGAAGAAAACAACACAACTCACACTGAAGTTTACTGACTCTTGTGGAGAACAACAAGCGACTGGCCGATTTTTTAGTCGACCGTGTGCGCGGACTGATAACATCCTGTACGTTACAGATTTCCGGGCGACAATCGCCTCGCCTACGAATCTGTGGCAAAACCCAGATTTTAAAATCGACGCAATTCTCGATCGCCTGTGTGCGCGCTTCCATTCAAATTCATGATGCACAGATCGGCCGATGAAATAGTCGCCTCAAAATAATCGCTCGTGTGCGCCTAGCCTAAGGCGGGCGATCGAGAATTGCGCCGATTTTAAAATCTGGGTTTTGCCACAGATTCGTAGGCGAGGCGATTGTCGCCCGAAAATCTGTAACGTACAGATTGTTATCAGTCCGCGCACACGGTCGACTAAAAAATCGGCCAGTCGCTTATTGTTCTCCACAGGAGACAGTGAACTTCAGTGTGAGTTGTGTTGTTTTCTTTGCTAATAAAGGCCACAGCTGTTATAATAAAAACTGAAACTTTCAACGGACATTCTATAGTAATTAAAGAACTTTTTACTGTCATCACGTAAAGTGTACAGTTTATAAAACTGTCGATTTAAAAGTCTCTGACTTACTATCGGATGAACCCAATATTTAAGTTGTCTTATTTTTTTGTTTGATCTAATTAGAAGAGCACAAACACAGGTTAATTCAACATAGTCCATTACTTAAAAAAATCCATTTCTCGACTAAAAAATCGCCACGTGTGCGCCTGGACATAAATCAAGGGCGATTTATTTTTGGCAGATTTTTTAATCGGCCGATCGAAAAATCGACCGTGTGCGCTAGGCCTAAGACACTACCAAACCTCGATTACTTTAATTTGTCAGTCGCTCTACCTATAGTCACCGATTCGCAAACTAAATAACAGTGACGGATATTTTTTTCAAAGAATGTAATATCTCGATAATAACAAGCTAAGAGCTTTGATTTTTTCCAAATATGAATAGAAAAATTATATTTCAAAGGATTTTATGTTATTGCGGTAAAGAGTATATTATTATGAGTTTATAAACCCTGTTTGTAAACAAAATGCGCTAAATTTATTGATTTAGATTCACCGTTCTAAAATAAAAGTAATTATTTACAGATTACATTTAAAACATCTTTTAAGAAGAGAAAAAACTCATGCTGAAGTATACATATACAGAAACATCGAGAAGATGAGTATCAGCCCCAGAGGAGTAAACATTGCTATTTCTCTTGAGGGTTGTTTCAATAGTATCTTGGAGTGGTTTTGTGGAATGTTCATTTCACATCTGCACTTGCATTGTACTCTTATAGAGGAAGAGAAAAATAATATTTACAAAATTGTTTGTTATTTTTATTTTATTCACTAAGTTGTCAAAGGAGATGATAAACAATTGCTGTTTAGGTTTTCGCCATACATTTTGTTAGGTAAATATTTGGAGAATTTAAAAAGAATTTTAGTTTATTGATCGTTAAAAAAGATAAAAATTTCAAATAATTAAAGACAAATTTGATATAATTACAAAATATTTACCATCTCTAGGGGACAATATTGGACTTCAAAGTTAGGCTTAAATGAATAAACCATTTGAAAGGGCATGTAAAAGGAAAATCAAAAGTATTTTAAAATACACACTTATAAATATCACTTTGATGTAAAAGCTTTAGCGTAAAAACATACAAAAACACTCTAAAACTTCGCAGATTATTGACAGATATTTTCTCACAGTAAAGATTTATCAGTTTTAAGTGCTCAACTACAAAGTATTTTCCTAAATACACAATGATTGAAAAGCTATTGTTTCGACCCTTAAAAAACCTTAGTAATTATAAAACATTTATTTATTCACCAAGACCACCTCAAGCTGTGAAACTAATTGATGTTTGAATAATAAATACCCCCGCCGCAGCAAACCTGCCGACTAAGCGAATTTCCATTTGTCTGAATTGATTTTCAGTTAAATATATTTTAATAACATTAGGTTTAACGAGTACCTAGGTTTGCTGCTGCGAGGAAACTAATAAAGTGTGTTTTTGAGTAAAATATTGATAGCTTAGTACAAAATAAATAAATTTGCCAAGTTTGATCAAAATATATCCATAAACAAGCAAACTAAAACATTTGACAATGTTCTCCATAAGAATAACATGGGAATTTTAAATTTACAATTTTTTAAATTTTTTCCGTAACTAATAATTAAACAAAAATACTTTTATATACTAAATTATTTGTTTTTTAAGCTTTTTTAAAAAGGTCTAAAGAGAAAGCGGGAAATTTTGTGTTTTGAGGGTCAAAAGTGAGAAAAACCAATTTTTACCCCATAAAACCCCCCGTAAAGCCCCGTTCCCATGGTCCGATCGTGCTGATTCGCGAACTCATTCAAGTTAACCCTAAGTCTATATATATATATACATATACATGTATATATATATACATATATAAAAATTTGAACGAATGGTGTTTTTGGCCTCTGGGGACATCAAAATGAAAAAGTAAATCGGTCCCGGGTCTAGGTCTTACCGTGCCACCTACGGTAATAGCTACTTCCCTATAGGGAAATTCGCTAAAAACACCAATAAAATTCTATGAACGGTAAACGTGAGTTTTTTCCTTATTAAAATAGCAATGAACCGCCTCCACATACGAATATCTCTACTTTACAAAAGTAATGAATCCAGGATAATGTTAAGGTGGGCGACCTGACAAGGAACATTTAGTTAGTTTATCATCATTAAAAAGAAAATGACGGGTGAAAAAGGGAAGCATAAATGAAATATGTGTTTAGTAAATTAATAACATAGATTAAATACAATTTATTTTACATTAACTTTTTGAAACTACGTAAAAGCTGACCAATAGAATAAAATGAATTATGTGTGAACAAAATACAAAATACCTGTTTATGTTTAGTACAATAAAATGTAGAAACATTTAATAAAATTAAAACAGCCAAAAATAAAAAAATTTATTTAATCCATCAACGACCATATATACCGAATGCTTTACAATATAAAAGCTAATTTTAGGTGTGTCGTTCTGGAAATTTCAGTAAGGAAATCGAGATCGTATTTTGTAAGGCTTTGTGAAGGTAAATTTTGCAAAGGTTTGCCAACCTCTTGAGGGTAAGCAAACCTATTTCTCCGGAGGGTGGTTTTCATACAAGTCTTGGTTCGGAATAGGTCCATTTGTTCCTTTCACTGTCACTCCCGCATATATATATTATATGTATATATATATTATACCTCATATTTTAGTTATGGGTGTTTTTAGCGAATTTCCCTTATAGGGAATAAGCTATTACCGTAGGTCTCATGGTAAGACCTAGACCCGGGACCGATTTACTTTTTCGTTTTGGGGTCCCCAGAGGCCAAAAACACCATCCGTTCAAATTCATATATATATATATATATATATATATATATATATATATATATATATATATATATATATATATTTATTTATATATGTGTCCGTTAGCGAGATAACTCGAGCAAAATTGATCCGATTTTGATGAAATTTGGTACAAACGTGTACACACACATTTATTCGAACGAGTTCGCAAACCAGCATAATCGGACCATGGGATCAGGGGTTTATGGGGGGTTTTAAAATCAATAATATTCTAAACAATTAGCTTATTAGGGGTTGTTGTTCTTTTATAATTGTATAGCTCGTGTGAAAGAAATTGCATTTATTTTATTTTTACTCCGTTGCACAATGGAGGTGGAAAATTGAGATGAGTACTTTGTATGAGTATACTTTGAAAGCGTTTTCAGAAAATCACACCCAAGAGAAATAAATAAGTGTATACCGTTGGGTAGGTGATCTTTAGTAAAAAGAAAACTTTCGTCAGATTGTTTTGAGTTTAAAATATAGGCCATCTAATGCAACCAATATTTGAAACACGAAACCGATATAATAATACTTAAAAATGACTCACAGCTTTACGAGCTTAGAAAAAAATAATAAGTTTTTTTTTACTGAAGCACGTTATTTATAAACGATTAACTAAACCAGTAAAGGTGTTATTCTTAAAAAAATGCTAAACTAGTGAGACAATTATTTATTAATTAACTTCCGGCTTTAGTCAGAGTTTGTATTTAGTTATCTTGATTTTTTTTCAGCACCACAAGTCAAAAGTATACGTCAAGGCTGTCCCAGAAAAAATGCAAATATTTTAATTTCAAATCTGTTATCAACCTTTTAAAACCATCAGTTGTAAAGATTTGCAGATCCTTCTGATGTAAGGGAGACAGTGCGAGTATTGCTAAGGAATAAGTAAATGTATAAAGAAAACGCGTTAAGAAATTTAAAAACGAACAAACGAGCAAGCAGCTTGGACTCTAATCAGTTTTAGTTTTTGAATCATCATTTTTAAATTACCAAGGCAAAATAATTTGAACTGCCCTTAAGGTAACGTGTGTATTTTTAGAGATTCAACGACCATTATTAAGTAGTATAACATAATGAGCAATTTTAATATGTTATTAGTAATCTAATAATGCCTAGTAGGTCGATGAATAAAATATAGACATTTTGAAATCATCGTATCAATCATGAAGGGAAAATTATCAAATTATAAAAAATTATTAACGAAAAAATATTTAATTGGTATAAAATCAACACTATCCCCATAACGGTTCAATACAACATTTTACTTAGCATCTATTATTATCAACATTTATTTTCCTCAACTCATTTGAATTCTCGCATATGCTGCATTTAAAATAAACCAACATTGTTGTAACGTAAGTTGATATAACGCAGTTGTGAGATGAAACGTATAGACGAGTCCCTAGTGCTAGTGCGCCGCAACGTTGGTAAGATAAAGACTTTGATTTGGACGCAGGGATTTAGAGAAGGTCTTAGGGCTTTAGTGCTTTCCCATTTGGAAACCTTTTGCACTTTACTTAGCAAGCTCAATAAAAAAATTATGACTGTTTGACCTTTTTAAAAGGTACTAATATGAGACATTTTACTGCACTGGAGATATAAATCTTATTAAATTGGGTAATTAAATAATAAAAAACAGATATTAAAGAAAAGAAGAATGATAATAGACCGTGATGTTAGCATTGGTTAAAAGCTATTAGTTGAGAGGGAGCTACTAAGAAATATAAATTCGAAAATAAGAGTTTTCGAAAAATAAAAGAATTAAAAAAATAATTATCTTAACTTTTACCTGGTGGTGGCGGGGGTAGAAGAGGAGGCGTCCCACTCCCTTCCCATGGCAACCCTTGGTCTCCCTGTAAACATGAAAGGAAATGTAATTCTCAAACTTAAGTTAATGTAAGCTTGGGGAGATTTATTTAGTCCTACATCCTAGGATGCTAGCTCTACACAATACTTAAGGGTATGTCTCAAAGATCGTGGCATTATTACAAAATAAAATCCATTTGGTGCTTGGCGGGATTTAAACCTTGGATCTCGGGGATCGAAGCCTGTACTCTACCTGTAGATCACCATGCTCCCAAAACCACTTTAAAACAAAAGAATGTCTTTAAAAACAAGTAAAAAATCACGTATTATGAAATACTAAGATCTATTATGTAAAAATAATACAGAATTACTAAAAATTTCTCTGAATCATTCCTAGAAACATCTTCTGGCTTTATATTAATTTATTTTACCATATTTTCTCTTAAATCTCTAGAGAGTTTATTCCCTTGATATAAACTGCGTTGTTTGAATTTAATAAACCGAATCGTTATTGTAACGTTGATATAAAACCACGCAGACTATTTCAGCAAGACTGAAAACTAAGATGCTGGGTATCAAGTTCCTTTAATACAACGTAATGTGATTAGATGTGACAAAGTGTCCTGGCTTAGGTCCACCATTTATTACCTTAATCTCATTAGTTTAAACTCATTAGACTTTAAACTTAGTTTACCAGACTATAGACTTCCTTACAAAATATAAATTATATAGTAAAAAGGACGAGAATCAACGATTCTCTTTCTACACAAAACTTTATATTTTTCTCTTGTTTTCGTCTGTAGCATTTTTTAATATACAAAATTATACATTATTAAAAAAAATAACCGATATTAAATAATAAACTAAAATTATAGCTTAATCGTGGTAATAATATAGTGCGTCAACGTATTACAAAACCTTTATTTGATGGAAACTACGTTTTAATGTATTCGTAGTCTCATTGGACCTTTAAAACAGGTTAAGTGTTCGGATTTGTTTTGCTAAGTGCTGAGTGAACAGTTGTTCACTTGTCTGTTTCAATATTATCTGGGGAAAACCTTGTTAATGAGATTAGTATGAAGAATATTTTCATAATTAATTAAGAGTATTCAATCGTGAGGAGGGGGTTGTGGTTTCAACATTTAAAAAAATATTCTTTATTAAAAGTTTCACCCTTAAAATATGGATATGGCAAATGTTTATTACGGACATCGTGTAGAGCATAAAACGAATAATTTTTTATATTGAAGCATTGTTATACAATAAAGGTAATAACAAAATTCAAAAAACATTACATATCAAATTGCCATGTTATTCTTAAGGAGAAAAAGAAAACTGCTGTAGTTTGCTTGCTTATGGTTCAATTTTGACCTGATTTGGAAAATGTATTTGATTCTTACTCATCCTATACTATTAACATTTGGTCAAAAACACTGTTTAACTTCCCCGTAGCAGCAAACCTTAGTTGTTAAATCTTATGTTATTTAAATGAGGAATAAATATGTCTTGTTTACGAAAATATTTGAGTAAAATCCAATCACACAAATTGTAGGTCACTTAGTTTGAAGGTTTGCTGCTACGTGGTGGGGGTATTATTTTTGTCAAAGCATAATCCCTTGATTATGAATGCGATATGAAATAAATAAAATAATATCGGGGAAGCTTGTTCTCAATACATACACGTATCAATTATTTAATCAATGTTTTTTTTCTGGGGCAAAATCTAAGCACTATATCTTGACTCAGGTTTTACCAACCTGCCAGCTGTGGTAAGGCATGTGTCGTCATCACTGGCGGAGGTTATTCTGCAGTTACTCGGTGTACTTTGAGGCAAATTACAATTGTTGAATATTGTTGGAGAGCAAATTGATAAAGAAGTTTAGGCACATGTATCATAAACAACAAATTATTTTGGTGGCGTGTTAATCCAAAATTAGCCCATTTAAAATGTTTTAGTATTGATAAACCGTCAATGTTAAGCACAAATAAATAAAATATTTTGGTTTGGAAAGGCAATAATGGAAATAATTGCATGAATATAAAAATATGTAAAAAACTAAGATAAGCTAAGGTATGGAAAGGTCTTAACTAATGGAAATACAAGCTTCACCAAAGTTTGATTAAAATATTCCTTTATTAACTGGATTTGTATGCAATATTCTTGCTTTATGAAAGCAATCTAATTACCATACTTTAATACAATGTAGATTCTTTACCAAATCGTTTCCAGAACATGTTAAAAAAGATTTTTTCTGACTAAGCCTTTTCAATATCTAAAGAAGAGTTCCTTTTTAAACATGTTTTAAAATCCTTGTTTTTAATATGTTTTTGTACAGTTAAAATAATCTGCTTTCATAATCTAGTACCTTTTATGATTAACTAATAGTTTTATAATGTAGACATGAATTACTATATGTATTCGTTTGATACAATACGAAATAAATGTAAAGTAACAAGCTTACATATACCTAGTATTTCAATACGAAGGAGGTTATACCAACTGAGCAACGCTTTGAACCCTTCAAGGAAGAACTTGTTGAACATTTCCAAATAAATGATCGACGATTCTCCAATAGAATAGCCTTTTTATTAAAATAGTTATACAGTTCGGATATAAACGCTTTAATTAAAATCTTCACTCACCGTCATATACAGCTTACAGCTTTATTAAAAAAAGTTACTATACAATTTAATATTTGCATATAGGAAACGTCTAGTAAATGGACCAACTGAACGGTTTAAACAAAAAGCAATTTTTTTTTTTTCAAATTAAACGCATGTATTTTGTAAAGAGTTGAATAAGAGGTTTTATGTTCAGTTATGTCATGTTGTTCTTAATTCATATTTTTAAGTAATAACAAATTGAAAATTATACTCCAGTTGAAATTAAGCTATGTTTACAAAGGTCTAGAGAGTATTAACATGGACTCTACAACTATGAAATATCTAAATAATTTGTAAAAATTTTGTTTTGAACGATATTGTATTTGCCGTCCATTCATTTTAATAAAGAAATATCATTGCAAAAGATCACTTACCATATTTTCAACTAGAAAGTTTAATCATTCACTGTTATAAAATAACACGTTTATTGATAACAGTGTCAATGGGTCATAGGAAAGTAATCATAACTTATTTAGTGTAAAATATTGAAATATCTGTAGGCCTGGTAAAACCTTAGAATATACATAGTTGTTAGACTTTATAATGGATTTATTCAACACGAATAAATGCAACATTCTTTTGTACGATTTGGATTTAACATTCGTGTTGTGGCCTGGTGTTGTTATTCAAATGTTTGACAAAAGGTAAGAAATATTCTACCGACCTGAACACATGTCATTCACCTGAACTAAAGCTTGGTTACCTAAAAACCCAACAGGAGAAATATAAGTTTACGCGTAGTAGTACCAACAATGAGTGAAATTATTAGAAAGGAAATAATAAGAAACGTGACAATAGAGTTTAGCATCAGGCTCCAGTAAGACCAAAAGGGATGAGTTTAGGTTGCGATTTTACATTTAAATATTTTTTAATAAATATTGAGGTGTCTTGAGGTCTGAAACTAAGAGCTATTAAGAACAGTTTGAGAGAGAAGGAAGGGAAATATTTAATGAATACTTTGAGAGAAAATTCACTAAAAATAATTGAGAAGAAACTAATTGATTACAATATAGGTTTTATATTTCTTCAACATGAACAGAGGACATTATCTAAAAACCCAAAATATGTGTTATAGCCAGACCAAAGGCAAAAGTAATTAAATTTCAAAATATATGCTTACCATAATATTTTGGAGATATATGAAAATCAAAATTTAACAATTAGTAAAATATTGTTTGGCTTGGTGCATTGAATATTGTTGTAGAGACTATCTGCACTGAAAATTCGATGGAAGTTCACTTTGGATAAACCAACAGCCTGAACAGGGACCTGGACGGAATATATACGGCAGCATTACTGACTTGAGGCGGGATACCATTACTAATCTGAAAGTAATGGACATGGTGATGTTTTCAGGAAAATAATATTTTAAAGGAAAATATTCAGAAAAATGTTTTCCAGACTCTTCCGTTGAATAAATGCCACATTGCTTATACACAGTGACTTTAAGGTGTAATTTATCTTTCGTTAGGCCTAGTCATGAAATAAAATATTTCTCTCAAAACTCAAAATGAAAATTAGAGAATCTTAGACCTAGGGGAGATTTAGGGAAGCGTAACATGGGTTTTATATGTTGTAGTTTAAATATAATAATTAGGGTACATGATTGGCAACCGTGTAAATAAAAAGATTTCACCTCTAATTGTCTTTGAGGTATTACTGATATACGTGAAAGAAATTGTATTACATTGGAATATTGTTAGGTAAATGGCAAACAATAACTTTATTAAGAAATTAATTGGTAGTATTAATAGTTTACCTCTTGTATATATGGGTATATAAGATATTTAATATACATTTAAAGCCGTGAAATAAACAATGACATACTTTAAATACACAGAGTTCAAAACATTTAAGTTTGCTGACACAAATGTTAGGCTGGACATATTTTTTTAGAGAGAAATACTATTTGAGAAGAAGATAAATAAACTAGACAATATGCATTGTTATACACAAAGAAAAATACATTTTCATGGAATATTTATTAGGTGCACACACCACGCTCAAACACAAATCTAAAGTATTTAATAATAGTTGCTTAGTCCATTTTCGTAAAAATCTTAACAAATTCAAATTGAGCAAAGTGATAATTTTATTTCAGCTCGAGAATTTTTCGAGTACTCAAAAATGTGTGTGTGTTTAAGATTTTAAATTTTCTCAGAGTACATCTTTTTCTTTGAAGTTGGAGCTAACCTTATACACCCAAAACGCCATTAGAGATTAAACATTTTACATTTGATCACATAAAGGTATTTTTGATGTGTGCCCCTGCAAAAGTTTCTATATAGAACTGCCATCGTAGAAAACAAGATAGTGAGTCCATAATAAGGTAAAATTGTTCTGTTCAGTGGTATGGTTTTACGTGCAGCAAACAACTTTGTCG